CTGGGAGTCCTTGAGCTTTGCGAGCAGACAGCAGATGGCCTCAGATATTGGGGTGCCCTGGATTCTTTGCTGAACTTCCCCATGTGGTCTCTCTTTTGTTTTGTGTTAAATATTTTTAATGTATCACTTTAAGCACTTTGTTGTTTGTTTTATTATATTTTTAGTTATTTTTAGTGATTACTCTGGGGATTGCAATTAACATTGTAAATGATCAAGTTCAAAAGTAAACTTAATTTCAAAAGTATACAAAAACTTTGCTCCAGTATAGCTATGTTCTCTTTTCTCTCCTTTGTGCAATTATTTACAAATTATATCTGTATATTTTATAAGCTCATAAACACAGCTTTATAATTATTGATGTATGCAGTTGTCTTTTAAATCATATAGGAGGAAGTAAGTTGTTACAAACAAAAATACATTTACATAGTCTTTTATATTTCCCTGTGTATTTACCTTTACTGGTGTTATTTATTTCTTCATGTGGATTAATATTAATGTCTAGTGTCCTTTCATTTTAGCCTAAAGAACTGCCAGTAGCACTTCTACTGGGGCAGATCTGCTAGCAGCGAATTCTCTCATTTTTTTTCCAAGAATGTATAACTTTTTCATAATTTTTGAAAGGTAGGTTTGCAAAATATAAAATTCTTGGTCAACAATTGTTTTCTTTCAACACTTTGAATATGTTACTTAGCTGCCTTCTGACCTACATAGCTTCTGATAAGAAGTCACTGTTAGTCTTACTGAACATCTCATATATTTTCTCTTACTGCACTACTGTCAAGATTTTCTCTTTATCTTTGACTTTGGAAAGTTTGACTATGACATGTCTAGGTGCATATCTCTTTGAGTTCATCCTACTTGGAATTTGTTGACTTTCTTGGATGTGTATGTTATTCTCATGAAATGTGAAATTAACATGCAATTAAATTCATGAAATTAGAAAAGTTTTTGTAATTATTTCTTTCATATTCTTTCTGTTCCCATTATGTATATACCAGTATCCTCAGTGGTGTCCCACAAGACTTTATTTTTCTTCACTCTTTTTTCTTTTTGTTCCTCAAACTTGGTAATCTCAATTGACCTAGCTTCAGGTTTGCTGATTCTTTCTCTGCCAACTCAAATCTGCTATTGCGGAGAGTGCTTCAAAATGGCGTAGATGGTAGAGGCTCTGTTCATCCTTCTGGCAACCAAATCAAGGTTGTGACAGAAACAAGGAGCAGCAGCAAAAAAAAGGAAAAAAATCGCCTGGGATCTAGAGGAACAAGCCATACAACTAAGGAGGAGTCCAAGAAAGCACTCTGCAATGGCAGAAGGTAGGACAAAGCAAGGGCGCGGGGCACCCCAGTCCGGAGCGGCTGAGTGAGATGGAGGCTGCAGCAGTTTCAGTGGCAGACGCCTCTTAAAGGGGCCTTGTCCATGAGCAGATTTTTGCGGTGACAGACCTGCTTGCTCTGAGCAATAGCTACTCCAGGGGGACCAGGGACTTACAGGGGGACACTGAGTTATTGGAGTGAGAGCCAGTGATGAGGCTCACTTGATACAGAAATGCCAGTGGTATCCATTGTTTCCTGTTGAGCCCCCGCTCCTCCCAGTGCACAGACGCAGCACCACCATAGCCAAGACATCATCAAACTGGATAACAGAGGTCACTCTTCCCAGAGGATTCCCTGAAACCCCACCTCCTCCAACCCGGACCCCACTCAAGCAACATCCAGGGATATCCTCAGCAAGTCAGATGTGCCTTGCTGAGCAGCACCTAGACTCTTACTGGAGGCAGCTGGCCTTGGTTTCTGGTGTGGCCTTTTGAGCACAGCATCTGTGGATTGCTTGCTGAATTTTGACAGGTGGCCCCAGAGGCTTGGGCTAAATTTAGTCTGCAGCTGAACCCCTCTCGGGACTGTGCCACTGGACACCTACTACACAAAGCCACACTAATAAGACTGGGAGACTTAGGAGCTTTGCTTAGTACATAGGAAAAGACATGGAAAGACAGCCAAAATGGAAAGACAAAAAAGCAGAAACAATATGACAGAACAGAACAGCGATCCAGATATAATGGAGTCAAGCAATCTAACAGATGCAGAGTTCAAAACACTGGTTGTAAAGATGCTCAGTGAACTTAGGGAAAGTGTAGATGAACTCGGTGAGAACTTTAACAAAGCGATAAACATAAAAATGGAAATTATAAAAGGGAACCAGTCAGAAATGAAGACTGCATAATCTGAGATGAAGAGTATACTAGAGGGAATCAACAGAGTGTTGAAAGAAGTGGATTGGATCACCAATATAGAGGATGGGGAAGCCAAGGACACCCAAGTGGAATGGCAAGAAAAAAGTAACCAAGAATATAATAATAATTTAAGGAGCCTATGGGACAAAATTAACATCTGTGTTATAGGGGTATGTACCTGAAGAGGGAGAACAATATAATTCGAAGAAATAAGGATGGAAAACTTCTCTAACCTGATTAAGGAAATAGACATACAACCCCAGGAAGCTCAGAGTCCCGCCCCCCAAAATGAACCCAAAGAGGCCCACACCAAGACACATAATTAAAATGCCAAAGTTAAATACAGAGAGATAATTAAAAGCAGCAAGAGAAAAGCAATTAGTTAGCTACAAGGGAGCTCCTATAAGACTGGTAGCCGATTTCTCAAAAGAAACTTTGCAGGACAGAAGGGCTTGGCACAAAATATTCAAAGTGTTGAAAAACCAAGATCTACA